TGTAAGAACTCTGATACCAGCCTCAGGTGGTGGAGGACTGTTTCATGTGACTCAGCATGGCCCACGGAGACAGTTTTAGGGACTGCGGGAGCAGTATCTGGCCAACACTGCACACTTAGCTCCTGTAGTTCCAGTGAGTTCTGGGAACTTGGGTGAGTCTCAGTACCAAAGGAAGGCCCGTTCTGGTGAAGAAGGCTGTTCCTTGGAGTCAGCCCAGAGCAGAGCAGAGGGTCCAGGTTGGGGGCAGGCCAGGATAACTATTATGTATGGTGGCAGGGCCATCTCAGTCTACACCTTTCTATAGCATTTTGGGTTTTGAGCCTGAGTATTCTACAAATTTAGGACATGTATAAAAAACTATATTGAAAATGGAAAGGTATTCACACATATTTGTAGTTTTCACAGAGACCAGTTAAAGCACTCACGGCTCTTCATTTGAGGTTTCAAATTGCACATGAACTTTGTGGACACCCTGTACATGTTTTTTAAATATCTTGGCCACTTGGCCAGTGTAAATGAGTCATGCCAGGGGGTGAGGAGGACAGTGCCCCTTTAACTGCCTGATGGACATGTTTAACCTGTGGAGGGCCGTGATGCTGTGACCAGTAACAAAACCCCCCCCACTTCAGTAGGATTTTCCCAGCTTTATGGCCACCTGCCCTATTCAACTCTGGGTATATGAGCCTCTTAGCACAGTCCGTGTCTGTCTCTGAGTGGCTCCTGGTGGTGGCCTGACGTTGCGTGAATAATCCCTCAGAGGCTCGCTCTGGGCTTGTCAGTGTCCTCTCTGCTGGGACCCTCTTCCCTTTCTAGCACCACCACGTTTTTTTCTCACAGCAGACTCTTGTACCAGTGGGTGAGCAGCATCCTGATGGCCACATCTGGGCATGGCCTGGCGTGCCACCATCCTGACTGTTCAAACCTCCCATATGGGGCACGGTGGCCTGTCAGTCTGTGTTCATCGCATGCCTTCCTGCTCCCCACAAAGCAAACCTAATGACCTGTATTAAGGAGACGGGGGGTGGGGGTGGTGGGGGAGGTACAGAGAGGGTCAGAACTTGCAGAGGACAGGAGCTGCCCAGCCTGGAGGCCTGTGCTGCAGAGGCCTGGCGGGTGTGTGTGCTGCCCCTGCACTGTCAGCTGCTGCAGCCCCTGAGCCCCTGCACACAAGCGTTTCTGTCTGCTGTCTCCCCCCTCGCCTGCCCCTCTGTAAAAGCGCAAATCCCTGAGATCTGGAGACTCGGAGAATAGCTAGCGTTGGCTTTGGTGCCTGGTGGGTGGGGGCGCTTGCACAGAGAAAGCCATTAAGAATTCACGTTCTTTGCCTGCTGGACCCCTTTTCCCCCCAGGTCTCTGTGGCCTGATCTGGGGAAACAACCACAGGTTGGAGCCTGTGGAAGGTGGCTGCCCTGGCAGACCCCAGGCCCATCCCTCCATCCCACCGGTGCTGTGCAGAGCATGCTGTCTGCTGTGGTTTTTCTGTGCATTTGTAGTTTATTTTTTCTTCTTCTTGTTTTTTTTTTAAGAGACAGAGTCCACCTTATCGCCCTTGGTAGAGTACCTTGGCATCACAGCTCATAGCAACCTCCAACTCCTGGGCTTAGGTGACTCTCTTACCTCAGCCTCCTGAGTAGCTGGGACTACAGGCACCCACCACAATGCCCAGCTATTTTTTATTGCAGTTTGGCTGGGGCCAGGTTCAAACCTGCCACCCTTGGTATATGGGGCTGGTGCCCTACCCACTGAGCCACAGGCGCTGCCCCATTTGTAATTTAAAGTCTTGTTTTCCCTTCTACTCAATGAGGCCTTTACCCATGTACCAGAGCGAGCAGGAGTGGAGAGGGCTCCTAGGCCCCACGTGGCAGGTGCATGGGGGTGAGGGTAGGTACACAGGAGCTGGTGGTGTCGGGGGTTCCCACAGCACAGCAGCCTGATCAGAATGGAGACCCTCTAACAGGTGCTGGTAACCGCCCAGCCCTGGGACAGAAAGCACGTGAGAGTTTCTGTTTCAAGTACTCTGTCTTCCGTGCTTTGAATTCAAAATAACAATGGGAGTTAGTGACATGTTATGACTCTTTGATCAGACGTGTTTGAGGAGTGTCACTGTAAGTGTGGGGGCTTTGCTTTGACTTGTCAAACCTCTGGTTTAGACACATAGAAAGGAGCCTTTCCGTGTAGGACGGGCAGGGTTGATGGTGCAGCCTCTCTGGTTCTCGGGGTGTCTCCACAGGGAGGACATCCAGTCAGTGTCTTAGTTTGTCAAAGCCCTCAGCTAACGCATAGCCTCCCAGGCACATGACACGCCTGCTCTGTGGGCCCCAGTTCAGTGCCCCCCAGCTTCCTGACTGCCCACCCCATCTTGCCTCATTCCCATTTCTACAGAGACATCTGCACCTGCCAGATAGGCTTACTGAGGCAAGGAGGATGGCTAATTACACGAGCTCCCCTGGGAGACAGGGGCCAGGGCTGCAGCCACCCATGGGGCACCACAAAACTGCTCCTGCCTCTGGGAGGAGGGGCTGCCAGGGAGCTAGGCAGAGATTGCAGCTTTTCTCCTCCTGATCTCAGAAATTCAGTTTTGAACATCCTGACCTCCAGGCCGTTAATGGTCTTTGTCTCTGGAGTGGAGTGTGCTGGGAGCTGACACACCTAGCTCTCCGCAGACCGCCTCCTAAGTGCCATGATCAGTTTCTCTAGGTATCGATCCTGGGAGCACAGTTAACATTGGGACTAGATCCCATGTCACTCTCTTCCCCAGCATAATGGTATCTGCACCCTGTATGTCACACTCAGTTTCCAAGTTGTCTCTACTCACATTATTTCATCTTTGATCCCGTGATATGAGCACAGATTTTTAAAAGTGTCCTGGCTCACGGTGAAGGGTGGGGGTGGCCAACAAAAGCTGGTTTTGTTTCGAATCCTGCCCCTGCTCCCTTCATGAAAACAGAGTTTTTCCACAGGATAAGGATGCCCAGTCCCATGAGGACCCACAAGCCAGCCTGGCGTGAGGGACTCCTAGCACTGCAGCTGTGGAGCTGTCTGTCTCCTCCAGGGTGCCTTAGGACCACATTTTTCCTCCACTTGGAAGCCCTTTCCTCAGGGACCTGCTCCACCCACCCCCAAGGCCGTGTTCTCAGCCTCAGTTTTGGCCCCCATCCTCCAGAGCCGCCCTCACCTTTAGGGTCTACACTTGCCACTGGCATGCACCTTCTCTTCTAGGAGTCTGCTGTGATCCGGCCCCCCTCCCCAGATCTCTGGGACAGCTCTGCTCTGTGTCTCATGAATGCAGTATCCCCACCTTGGGCTCCTCATCCTCTGTGACCCCTCTTCAGCGGCTGCCCCTTGTGCTCAGATCCTCCTGTCTCCAGGGGATGGAGGGGAACCATCTTTCTGTCCTTGCTGCCTACAGCCTCCAGCTGGCCCCTGCTGGCTCAGTCCCTACTGCAGGTGCCGGCATGCCCTGTCGAACTGTAGCCTGCTCCTGGGCCACAGCTCCCACCATGCCCTACAGCCCCCCACCCCCACCCCTGTGCCGTCCACCTCTGCCAATCCCCATCCCTTATTCCTCCTACCTCTATAGTCCAGAACCAGATTTGCCATTTCCTAGCAGAATAGGGTCTCCTCCCACTATCTCTCGCCCACTGTCCTTCCTCCCTTGGAAAATCCTGCCAGCTCCTCCAGAGAGCAACCCCCCCCGCCCCCCCACCAGCTCCCAGCCAGCGGCCTTGCTGAGTGTGACTGGTCCTCCAGGAGCTGCCAGCAGGAAAGGAATGTGCCTGCCTCTCCAGGTGCACTTAGCCCACAGTAGGGCCCCAGAAGGGTGAGATGCATGGTGATGGTAGATGAGACTGTTGGCAGGTGCAGGAAGAGTCACATGCCCAGCAGCATCTTTAGCACTTTAACTTCCCACTCCAGAGCTGTCCCTTTGGGTTAAGGAATTGGGCCTCTAGAAAGCACCTACTAAAATGTGACCATGTGGGCTGCACCCATAGCTCAGTGGTTACTGTGCCGGCCACGTACATCCAGGCTGGCAGACAGCTAAACAACAATGACAACTGCAACAACAACCAAAAAAATTGCCAGGTGTTGTGGCGGGCGCCTGTAGTCCTAGTTACTTGGGAGGCTGAGGCAAGAGAATCACTTAAGCCCAGGAGTTTGAGATTGCTATGAGCTGTGACACTATGGCACTTTACCAAGGGCATACTGAGACTGTCTCAAAAAAAAATGTGACCGTGTGAATGAATAATCTATATTAGATTTGCACAGATTATTGTTTTTCGGTATTTTGTGAGTCTAAGCAAAACTACAAGAAAGGCTTTGGCAGGGTCTGCAGACATGGGGCTGTTTTCAGTTGTGAGACTTGTCCTAGGGAAGGTGTGCAGGACCCGGGTGACAGAGGAAAGAAGATGGGCAGAGGCCGCGGGCAGAGCCTGCAGCCCAGCAGCAGGGCCCTCCCGCCCTGGGTAGCCGGAAGGTGCTCTGCAGAGACTGTCTAAAGCTTCACCTCTGAGAGCAGGGAGACCCCAGGCCTCCTCCCTCAGCCAAGAAAAAGGTGTCTGCAGGCAATAGTGCTGGCTGTCTTTTTCAAATGAAAATGAGACTTGAGAGGAGAAAGTAATTAAGGCATAAAACATTCATCACCCACTCATTTTTTTTTTTTTTGGTACACAACAAAGGCACTAAAGGGCGGTGCCTGTGGCTCAGTGAGTGGGGCACCGGCCCTGTATACAGAGGGTGGTGGGTTCAAACCCGGCCCTGGCCAAACTGCAACAAGAAAACAGCCGGGCATTGTGGCAGGCACCTGTAGTCCCAGCTACTCAGGAGGCTGAGGCAAGAGAATCACCTAAGCCCAGGAGTTGGAGGTTGTATGAGCTGTGTGATGCCACAGCATTCTACCGAGGATGACAAAGTGAGACTCTGTCTCTACAAAAAAAAAAGGCACTAAAAAACCATCTGGTCTCTGTGCTCACAGCTTCGCCTTCTGTGTCTTTTCTCCACAGTCGTGCCAGGCTGACCTCGTCAAGGACAATGGTCACAAGTACTTCCTCTCCGTCTTGGCGGACCCCTACATGCCAGTAAGCTCAGTCGCCATGCCCTTGACAGCCTCGGGACTCCCATCCTCTGTCTCTGCTCATCCCCTGTCTCTGCTCGCGTGTTCCACTTGGGGGAGGGCCACCCCTCAGGGTGCACTGGCTCAGTAGGGGTCCCAACAGGAGGGGGAGGCTGCTGTGGCTCCTCACCACCACCAGCTGCTGCAGTCTTAGCACAGGGTGGGTGGCCATTGCCTTGTCTGTCTCTGAGCGAGATTACACTTGGTCTGAACACACGATGTCCATCCGTGGCTCAGTGCACCCTCCACAGTGCAGTGACATCTGCTGTCCTTGCACCCACCACATCCCAGTGACGAGCATGGCGTCCATGCCCCAGTGTGCCTCGTCCATGCCCACTGAGCCCTCCACACTGCAGTGACGCCTGCTCTGCTCACATCACCTGCCACTCCCCAGTGACAAACACGGCGTCTGGGCCTGGAACGTGACAAGGCATTGATTTGCCTTATTTCAGGAAGAAAGGAAGAAGAAAAGGAGAGATCGAAAGTTTAAATTTCAAATATCTTTTATTGCATTAAATTGTTTAAGAATTAGTAATCTTGGGTGGTGCCTATGGCTCAGTGCTTAGAGCGCCAGCCCCATATACCCAGGGTGGCGGGTTTGAACCTGGCCCTGGCCAAACTGCAACAAAAAAATAGCAGGGCATTGTGGCGGGTGCCTGTAGTCCCAGCTACTTGGGAGGCCGAGGCAAGAGAATCGCCTAAGCCTAAGACCTGGAAGTTGCTGTGAGCTGTGACATCATGGCACTCTACCGAGGGTGACAAAGTAAGACTCTGTCTCTAAAAAAAAAAATAGAATTAGTAATCCACAAATAGGGTATATAGTAACATCCTGTAAATGTATCATAACTGATGCTTTTATTTCCTACCTCTACCTCCCACCATAGTAATTAGAACAAAATAGAAACCCTAAATCATTATTTAGTGTATCTTCTTTTCGCCAGAGTGTTCTAGTGTAGCAACTTATTCACACACTCTTGGCTTTGGTTGTACAAAGGAACTTTTGTAGCTAGTTTTTAACCCTCCAGTTAGTTTCCTAAACTAAATGATTTAAAAAAAAAGAAGAAAAAAACATTATAAACAGGGATGTTACATCAAAGGCAAATAGCGCTCCTGGGCTTTACTGCCTATGTTGTACTCAAATGTCATCGTGGGCAGTTAAAATCAGACTTCACGTGAGCTTTGGAAATCCTCACATCCCTGCCCTGCGAGGTGGGCACAAACACAAGCCACACAGCAAGGACAGTGATCAGCTGGTGGTTCACATACAGGGATGAGCTGGGCTGACCTGAGGGGCCCCACCACAGCCATAGCTGAAGTTCTGAGCACACAGCCAAGTTTAAAAGAAAGAAGAGGAAACCCTTAAGTGTCGAAGACTGAAGAGACCCAAGAGTGCCCTGGTGGGTAGCAGGCATGACCATCATGGTGACCCCACGGGTTTCTATGCCGCACCCTGACCCTGAGCCATACAGAGCGAGAGACCTGGCAGACAGGGCCTGCAAGATGGTTCTGTCCCCTCATTGGAAGGACACTGGCAGAGCTGCCCTCTGCTTCTTAGAACATACCACTTTCCCATGTCTTGAGAGGAAAGGAAAAAGAAGGGCCTTCACAAAACATGGAAGCCTCGAGCCAATTCTTCTCCACACAGTTTGCACAGCCTGTGTGTGTGAGAGCCACAGCAAAGAAGCAGCATGGAAGCCAACTCAGGGTCCCTGGAGCTTCCTAGGGTCCTGGAAGCAGCAAACAGGGCCTTTCTGTAGGGACACTTTTGGCAGGGACTTGGTCTTATCAGTCCATGTGTGACACACACAAGTGTGAACTAAGTGGGTTACCACAGGGGTCCACACGTCAGGAC